ACTCATTCTGAAGCAGTTTTTCCCTCCAGTCTAGCTACTCTCTCTTTCTCTATTCTGTTTGACTATATTTATAGCACTTAGCACTGTATGACATTGTTTATTTTGAAATTGTTTATTTCTCTCTCCTCAATAATATAAGTCCGAGAAAGACAAGGAATATGTTTTTTATTCTGTTTCTATCCCTGGGCCCTAGAATAGGGTCTGGGAGGTGATTGCAGCAGAACCCCTAGCTGAAAAGGCAATCCTGTGCTAATTAGAAAAAAAGAGCTCCCTTGCCCCCATCCATGCTTTTTTTTTTTTTTTTTTTTTTTTTTTTTTTTTTTTTTTGAAACTCCCTCTATTACCCAGCTGGGTGCAGTGGTGTGATCTTGAGAGGCCCTTTCTTGATATACTTTTATCATCTTCTGCTGGAAGTTTTTTTTTTTTTTTTTTTTTTTTTTTTTTTTTTTTTTTTTTTTTGATGGAAACTCCCTCTGTTACCCCGGCTGGAGTGCAGTGGTGTGATCTTGAAGAGAGCCCTTTCTTGATATACTTTATCATCTTCTGCTGGAAGTTTTTTATACTCATTATACAAACCCACCCTATCTGTGACTTACACGACCTGTATGGCCCTGCTTTCATCCCGTCAAAAATGCTGCGGAGTGAATGAATGGATTGGTGGAAGTCAGGGGGACTGGAATATCTGAAAACAAATATCAGCATGTGTGGCCAGCGTCTGTGCACCTTTTGGTTGATTGCATCTCCTGTGCATTGATTTCACAGTGGTGGGCACAGGATCCCTTTTTTGCTCAATACCAACAAAGATTTGTCAGGCACCCACTCACTGTGTTCGCTTGGGGAATTCAGACATGAACAAGACACGATTTCTTGATTTAAGAAGCTGAGATTCTAGAGGGCCAGGCAGTGATGTGAAAGATGGTGCAGTCCAGGGTCCTAACAGCTGTATTAGGAGCCAGCCCAGGGCTCTCCTGGAGACAGGACACCTGTTCAGTGCAGAGGACTCAGTAAGCCTTTCTGAAGAAGTGATTGAGCGGGCTCTGAAAGGATGGAGAGGTTCGAGCATTGCTAAGTGCTTTGTACAACTTACAGAGATCCATGTTGCCCAGTCTCCAAGCAGTCTCAAGTTCAGTAGACAAAAGGCAATTTTCAAACGGAAATTCTTTACTTGCATTTCTATTTCTATTTCCTCCTTTCCTTCCTTCTCCCCAACCCCCCACGCTGAATCTTGCTCTGTTGCCCAGCAGACTGGAGTGCAGTGGTGCGATCTCGACTCACTGCAACCTCCAACTTCTGGGTTTGAGTGATTCTCCTGCCTCAACCACCTGAGTAGCTGGGATTACAGGCACACGCCACCATGCCTGGCTAATGTTTGCATTTTTAGTAGAGACAGGGTTTCACCATGTTGGCCAAGCTGGTCTCGAACTCCTGACCTCAAGTGATCCACCTGCCTCAGCCTCCCAAAGTGCTGGGATTACAGGTGTGGGTCACTGTGCCCGGCCCTTCACTTGCATTTCTTAAATTCTGTGAAGTCAGTAGGAATTGTTCTCTAGAATTCCCTTTTACTCTCCTATCCAGATTCCCCCAGATCCCAGTTCCCTCACCTCTTTCATGCAATTTTCCCTGCAAAACTCCACCCACAGCTTTCAATACGTCTCCCCACTTCTCTGCTCTTTATTGTGAAGACAAGCACAGTCTCTTCCTTTTGGGACCATTCCTCCCTCCTCCAGCTTTTCTGGTCTAATAATGTATCCACTCTCTATCACAAAAGCCAAGTTAGAATTGTCATTGGAGCACAGCCCAGGTCAAGAAACTGCACAGATACAACAGAGGGAGAAAGGAGGTTCGGAACACTCATGCGTTCATTATTTTGGTCTCATCACAGTTTCTTTTTTCTTTTTTCTTTTTTGAGAGGGAGTCTTGCTCTGTCACCCAGACTGGAGTGCAGTGGCACAATCTTGGCTCACTGCAACCTCTGCTTCCTGCATGCCATCATGCCCGGGTAATTTTTTTTTTTTTTTTTTTTTGAGACGGAGTCTCACTCTGTCGCCCAGGCTGGAGTGCAGTGGCGCGATCTCCACTCACTGCAAGCTCCGCCTCCCGGGTTCATGCCATTCTCCTGCCTCAGCCTCCCGAGTAGCTGGGACTACAGGCGCCTGCCACCGCGCCCGGCCAATTTTTGTATTTTTAGTAGAGATGGGGTTTCCCTATGTTGGCCAGGATGGTCTCAATCTCCTGATACGTGATCTGCCTGCCTCGGCCTCCCAAAGTCCTGGGATTACAGGCATAAGTCACCACACCTGGCCGGTCTCAGCCTCCCAAAGTCCTGGGATTACAGGCGTGAGTCACCACACCTGGCCAGTCTCATCACACTTTCTAAACGACTATTACTACCTAATTTCCCAGATGAGAAAACTGAAGCTCAGAGAGATCAAGTGACCTGCCCGATATCCCAAAGCTAGTAAGTGCCTATTCTTCCTGCCTGCCATACTCCTCTTCCCTCTGTCTTCCCCTTTGCCTGCTTAACTTGATTCAACCCAAAGAGAAATTTCCCCAGGAAAGCCTTCTCTAAACATCTTGCCTTGGCCAACCTCCCCAATTAATGTACACTTCAATAAGGCTGTGAACTTTCCCTTCACAGCCCTTGTCACATTTGTAATTGTGCATTTCTTTGGATTATTCCTGGGTTAAAGCCTATCAAGACTTTAAGCTTTTTTTTTTTTTTTTTTTTTTGAGATGGAGTCTCACTCTGTCGCCCAGGCTGGAGTGCGTTGGTGTGATCTCCGCTCGCTGGGTTCATGCCATTCTCCTGCCTCAGCCTCCCAAGTAGCTGGGATTACAGGCGCCGCCACCATGATCAGCTAATTTTTTGTATTTTTAGTAGAGAGGGAGTTTCTCCGTGTTAGCCAGGATGGTCTCAATCTCCTGACCTCGTGATCCACCCGCCTCGGCCTCCCAAAGTGCTGGGATTACAGGCATGAGCCACCGCGCACAGCCTAGACTTCAAGCTTTTAGAATAGCACCTCTCTCTCTCTCTCTCTCTTTCTCTCTCTCTCTCTCTCCCTCCCATTGTATAACCAGTGAGTAAAACAACATCTGGGACATGTCAGCACTTGTTAAATATTTACTGAATAAAAGAATGAATGACTGGAATTCAAACCCCTGTCTCCAAAATCCAAGTTCTTGTCTGACATCATGACTTGGCGTTCTCCGGGAGGAGAGGATGGGGGAAGGTCATTCCAGGTTCAGGAAGTACCATATGACCATTTACAATGAGTGTTCTTTTCTGGCGGTGGCGGTGGTGGTGGCAGCTTGAATCCAGGCTGTATGCAGAGTGGTGAAAGGAGAAAAAGCAGGAGCTGTGGACAAAGATGAGGGCAAGATGAGGAAAAGACCTTGCATGCCTGGCCAAGAACAGGGGCTGCAGGGAGCTAATCATGAAACATACTGAGGGTGTTTCATCAGGGGAGTGACATGACCATAGTCACATTCAGGAAAGATCACTGCCTGCTGGGAAGACAGAGGGTCAGGGCAGAACCTGGAGGCCAGGAGAGTGCAACCATCAAACAGGGTGGAGAAGGCACAGTTCTGGACAGGGATGTCAGTGGCGAGAGGAGTGGTCCAGCTCCCAGAAGATGAGGAGAGACAGGAGGTGAGGATGGCCCTTCGGTTTCAGGTTTAGGCACCTGGACAGACGGTCTCCAGCGGCAGAAAGCACTGAAGGGGAAGGAGGTTGGGGGAAGGGACTGCGTAGGCTGAGCAGCCTAAGTCTGAGAAGCTGGGCCACTTGCAGGTATTGGTCCAGGGTGCAGGTGTGTTTGGTGGAGGGGGAGACTAGGAAGGGAGGAGAAAGTCCAGTCTGTTTCTAGACCTCACCACCCTGCAGGTGTCTGGGCCAGCAGGTCGCAGATGGAGCTGTGCAGCTGGCTGCTGTCACATGTCTTTCTCTCCTAGCTGCCTTCAGCTGAGCTTAAGGCCAGCAGAGGCCAAAACACTTCACAAATGCAACTGGTCAGTTGGGAGGTGCGCTCAGAGCTCAGGAACACTGTTTGCCTTCTTTATTGTTTGCCATCATTCTTTTTTTTCAGTTTGGGTTCTGGGCCCCCTCAGTTTCTTTTCTGTTAACATTGAGCTATTTATCCATCCCTCTCAAGGTTGAAAAAGAGAAAGACTGTAAAAGTGCCCTGCAAAGAAGAGGCTTCCAACTCTCTGGGGTACTCTCTTCCTTCTCTTGTCTTCTGGGTTCATCCCAAATTATTCCCCAAGGGAAAAATCGCTCAAGGATTTAGGGCGGTGGTGGGGAAAAGGACAGTCTCCTAAGAGGTCAGGTGAAGCCCCAGCCTCAGGGTGTTGAGGGAGGGGCTGGGGGAAGCGGGAGCCTGTTCCTAGGAGACACTGTCTACTGGACACCTCAACCTAGACGGCTTCCCCGAGTTCTGACACTGTCCCAGGAGTAGGAATCATTCATTATCCCACGCTGCGGAGAAGGAAACCAAGGCCGGGTAAAGTTTTGTAAGGCCCTCAAAGTTGCAGAGCTGGGAATAAAGTCCGGATTGGGACTCAGGTCTGTGGACAATCCAAGGCCGCCCCCTTTACCCTTCAAATGCTCTTTCCTCCTCTGGAAACCCTCGCGTCCTCCTCCCTACCCCACCTCTTGTTTCCCAAGCGTGGCCAGGGCTAGGGCTCCAGGGCTGCGCCAAGCGCCGTTCGGTCTTCCCGGGGAGAATTTTCCCCGGCCCGGGGCTAGGGTCTGGCGCTGGGGCGCCCCTCAGACCTGCGGGATCTCCCCTAAACTCTGGGGCGCTGAGCGCGGTGAGCGAGGTCGCCAAGGCACAGATGGGGCGGGAGCTCGAGAGAGCTGAGCGCGGAGTCGCTGGGGGCGGGACGCGGGGCCCGGGAGCGGCCAGGGACCGCGGCAGCGCCGCAGTGCCAGCCCGGCGCCCGCAGCTGCCTGCCCCAGCCCCTCAGTGGCGGCTTGCTCTCTTCTCCCGCTCTGAACTAGACGCAGATTCCCGAGAACAGCCCTGGCTGTCAGCGGGCACCAGCCGCTTCCTGTCCCCAGCGCTAAGACTGGAGGGGCGCACCACCGCCGCCGAGCCAGAGGCGCTTCAGGAGGCAAGAGAAGTCCCCGCGCGCTCCGGGGCCCGGCGCAGCTCATGGTGAGCGCCCTCTGGGGCTCGAGGGTCCCTTGGCTGAGGGGGCGCATCCTTGGGGTGCCCCATGGGGCTGCCTGGGGGTCGCAGGGCTGAAATTGGGACCGCCCACAGACCGCCCCTGCAGCCCAGCCCGAAATGCTGCCGCCAGGGAGCAACAGCACTGCGTACCCGGGGCAGTTCGCGCCGCAACAGCAGCTGGCGCAGGGGAACACTGTGGGGGGCTCGGCGGGGGCACCGCCACTGGGGCCCGCACAGGTGGTCACTGCCTGCTTGCTGACCCTACTCATCATCTGGACCCTACTGGGCAACGTGTTGGTGTGCGCAGCCATCGTGCGGAGCCGCCACCTGCGCACCAAGATGACCAACGTCTTCATCGTGTCTCTGGCCGTGTCAGACCTCTTCGTGGCGCTGCTGGTCATGCCCTGGAAGGCAGTCGCCGAGGTGGCCGGTTACTGGCCCTTTGGAGCGTTCTGCGACGTCTGGGTGGCCTTCGACATCATGTGCTCCACAGCCTCCATCCTGAACCTGTGCGTCATCAGCGTGGACCGCTACTGGGCCATCTCCAGGCCCTTCCGCTACGAGCGCAAGATGACCCAGCGCATGGCCTTGGTCATCGTCGGCCTGGCCTGGACCTTGTCCATCCTCATCTCCTTCATTCCGGTCCAGCTCAACTGGCACAGGGACCAGGCGGGCTCTTGGGGCGGGCTGGACCTGACTAACAACCTGGCCAACTGGACGCCCTGGGAGGAGGACGTTTGGGAACCCGACGTGACGGCAGAGAACTGTGACTCCAGCCTGAATCGAACCTACGCCATCTCTTCCTCGCTGGTCAGCTTCTACATCCCCGTGGCCATCATGATCGTGACCTACACGCGCATCTACCGCATCGCCCAGGTGCAGATCCGCAGGATTTCCTCCCTGGAGAGGGCCGCAGAGCACGCGCAGAGCTGCCGGAGCAGCGCAGCCTGCGCGCCCGACACCAGCCTGCGCGCTTCCATCAAGAAGGAGACCAAGGTTTTCAAGACCCTGTCTGTGATCATGGGGGTCTTCGTGTGTTGCTGGCTGCCCTTCTTCATCCTTAACTGCATGGTCCCTTTCTGCAGTGGACACCCCGAAGGCCCTCCGGCCGGCTTCCCCTGCGTCAGTGAGACCACCTTCGACGTCTTCGTCTGGTTCGGTTGGGCCAACTCCTCGCTCAACCCCATCATCTATGCCTTCAATGCCGACTTCCGGAAGGTGTTTGCCCAGCTGCTGGGGTGCGGCCACGTCTGCTCCCGCACGCCGGTGAAGACGGTGAACATCAGCAATGAGCTCATCTCCTACAACCAAGACACCGTCTTCCACAAGGAAATCGCAGCTGCCTACATCCACATGATGCCCAACGCTGTTACCCCCGGCGACCCGGAGGTGGACAACGATGAGGAGGAGGAGGGTCCTTTCGATCGCATGTCCCAGATCTATCAGACATCCCCAGATGGTGACCCTGTTGCAGAGTCTGTCTGGGAGCTGGACTGTGAGGGGGAGATTTCTTTAGGCAAAATAACACCTTTCACCCCAAATGGATTCCATTAAACTGCATTAAGAAACCCCCTCATGGATCTGCATAACTGCACAGACACTGACAAGCATGCACACACACGCAAATACATGCCTTTCCAGTGCTTCTCCCTTTAACATGTGTTTCTGTGCAGTAGTTCATGTGCTTAGAAACCTCACCGCACCGATTGGTGGTTCAAATAATTGGCCGAAGCAGTTGCAATAAACTCAGTCAAATATACCCAGCCTACCAGAGATGGACCAATGATCCTATTAGAGAAGAGAGTATAGTGCTGCGTCCTTAAAAAAAAAAAAAAAAAAGTGATACTTGGTCCTTAAAAAATATGCTCTCCCCTCCCTTTTTAAACTAATGGCTTGTTCAGTCACTTGTTTGTGTTTGAATTGATTTTTAAACAGCAGTTTGTGTGTGTGTGCAGTGATGCGGTGGGAGCATAGCTTTCCTGTGTCTGGATTCCCATGACTCTGTGCTCATGTCATTTCTTCTCTCTGTGCTGATGGGTGTCTCTTCACCATAGCTGAAGAAGTCTCCCTGATTTATTCTGGTGTCTAATAAACACAAATGATTTGTATTACGCGGTGACTGTCTTTGCTTCGCTACACTGGGTTTCAGGATTGCTTCTGAAAAAACCATGAGTGCATCCTTAAAATGCAAAGAAGATATTTGCTGGGTCTGGAAGTACATGCTTACTCTCTTTACAGTTTGGCCTTAAAGATACACCAGGGCAAAGGACCTTGAGGAGCTTCTGTTTTCTCAGGTTTCTTTTTATTACTTATACACACGTTGGCTCTGTGCTGAAACCTGGATTCAATGGCATGGCATTAGATCTTCTCAAGCCCAGATTTTTTTTTTTTCTCATTTGGAATCTGTTTTGAAGTAACATAAGACAACTCTCCTGATTCCTAGACAGTTGCGATCAGTTCATTGAAAAGATCATGTAGAATAATACCTTGAATCTTTCTCCATCTGAAATTTGTAGCATGTTTTAGAATGACATGGCTTTTGAGAAATCGTGTTTTCTGAAGAGCTTTGAAATGTGTGAATCAAGATGCTTTAAAAAAGAAACGCTATTTTTAAATAGGCATTTTCCTTAGTGGACAAGAGCAAAATAGGGAAATGCTTTTTAACTAAAATGTAGAAGCCAGAGATGAAATGTGAATGAACTTGAAACTGGAAAATCTGTAGGTCGAGGTGCTCAACAGAAAAGCCCAGCTGACTCCAATCATTTTGTTTTTGCTCTCCGCAGTGTGCACAGTCAAGGCGAGTGTTTTATTCCAGACCCACACCAGTTGAGAGCATATTATTACCATCAGATCTAAATGTGAGCACTATTAATGGAAGCAAATGAAATGAGAATATGCAATTTCTTGCAAGTCCCTGCTTTGAAGCAGTTTTATCAAGGACAGTTCAATCAATTTGGATCTCTTTAAGGATAATTTTATTGTCAGTCTTCTGTGCAGCCATATCTTGATCACTGCAAAATGTGCAGTTCCTGGCACATAATGCTTAATGAATACTTGTTGAATGAATGACTATTTCTGGAACAGTGAGATTGAAAGCAAATCCTATTCAGTACGTCAATTTTTATATATAATTTAGTCAAAATGATACTGGAATCTGAGGTCCGTGTTCAGTTTCTGACCTCCTGTGAATGGATAGTTAAGCAAACCATTAGGCAACATTAGGAGCAGTGAAAAGCACGCAGCTCTAGGATTCAGGAGACGGTCGCGTGACCTTGAATGAGTCAATTAACCTTTCTGGGCCTCATTTTCCGTCTGTGTCTGCAAATGGAAACACTTATACTAGATCACTGTTTACTCAATTGTGCTTTGCGATGCAAATGTTAATGGATGGGGTCTCTGGTGAAATAAGTTCAGCAAACCCAGGTTCAATACCTGCTTTCTCGATAGGACTTCTTAGAGCTTCTCCTGTGCACGATGCATCCTCCAGTTGGGGAAGTTTCTGTATCAGTTCCCAATGCCGTTCACCTTGTGAACCTTGTTTGGTGGAATTCCTGTTACTGTTTCTCTGGAGTCCACAGTCACGGTTTGAGAAACTCAAATCTAACTGATCTGGAAGTCTTTACAATATTCTGTTCTAAAGCAAGGGTTGCTATAAGCAAAATCTTTTGTGAAAAACACTGTTCTAGGCTGCAGTTTAGACAAGTTCTGTGTTATGGAAAATAGATTATGTAAGGACTTTGGAATTTCCTGTAAAATATCACTCACCATTATTATGTACTATGCGCTAGGCATTGCTCTAGATGCTGGGAATATAGTTGTCAATCAAATTCTCTGCTGTCTTGGGACATTTATGTGAGTCGGGGGAGAGATAAGCCAATAAAGAGTTCTGTACTATACTGCACTGCATTGCACTGTGCTGTACTGATCAGGATAGGTAACACCAGGCAGGGGTAGTTGCTATGCTGCAAAAAACCCAGGGTGAATAGGGTGGTGAAGCTGCTGTTTTATTTATGGTGGTCAGGGGAGGACTTTCCAAAGACGCACATGAAGAGAGACCTTGATGAAGTAGGGGTTGGAGGGCTGCTAATGTCTGAAAAGGAGAGTAATCCAGGCACAGGGAGTGGCAAGTGCAAAGGCTTGGACATGGGGTTGTTCTTGGCGCCCTCAGAGGAGTGTGGCTGGAAGGCTATAAAAGAGGAGCATGATAGGATTAATGTTAATTGCCATAGCAGCAATCGCAGCAGGCATGACAGAGACTCGGCCTATGGTGGGTACAACATATGTATTAATTAATTTGACTCACACTGCCCTGTGAGATAAGCACCCTTATTACCCCATTTTACAGATGAGGAGATGAAGGCATTGGCAGGCTGTATAACCAGCCTGTGGTCACAGAGCTGTTGAGTGGCAGAGCTCAACTTGAACCCAGGTAGCCTGACCGTGGAGTCTTTAATCCTAACTGCACTTTGATGGTGAGAGAGGATGCCAGGACACCTTCAGTCAGCAAATGCACTAGTTCACAGATCGGAACATTCGGTTTTTTGTTCATGTATTACTGAAATGGTTAACTGATTCATCCCCACAGCTATACAACAGCAGATCTTCATTGTGTACCCGCTCTGTGCACGGCTTTGTGTTTGGAGGGAAGGCACCCTAGGGTTATGGGCAAAGTAGCTCTTACATGATGGGCCAAGTGCTTTCCTGTATTCTTATTTATTCCTCACATTAACCTTACACGTTATTATTTTTCCATTTTACAGATGAGGACATGGGGTCACAGAGGACCTTAGGACAAGGTTGTTTGTCCAAGGTCATGTGAGTAGTGGTGGAACCAGGGTTCAGTGCAGGTCAGTGGTTCTTAATCGAGGGAACTTTGCACCCTGCACCCCCACAGATATTTGGCAATGTCTGGAGACATTTTTGGTTGTCACAGCTCGGTGTCAGGTGCTCCTGCCATCTTGTGGGTAGAGGCCAAAGATGCTGCTAAACAACTTATGGTGCACAGAGAATTACCCAGCCCCAAATACCCATGTTGCAGCACCCAAGAGGCCTCGGCCAGGCGGACAGACTCCAGGTCCCAGCTCCCTGTCCACAAGGCCACCTGCCTGGGATTGGAGGCTCCACCGCCCTGAGTTTGAAGTTTGGTTCCATCATTTATTAGTCATCTGAATTTGGGCACCTTTCTGAGTTCTGTCTTCTTTATCTGAGCAATGTGCACACGAACCACACAGAGTGTATATAACACTAAGCACATGCCCCAGAACTTTCTTGCTCTGATACATGCTGAATCTTCTTTTATAATCAGGCCTCCATACACCATATTCATTGGTTAGAAGTGACTCATTAAGTCCAAATTATATTCAAGGGGAGGCAATTAGATTTCACCTCTTCATGGGAAAAGTGCCAAAGAATTTGCAGAAAAGATGTTTTACATTTTATGCTTTATTTTTAAAAACTTGTTCTCACAGTTTCAGACTTACAGAAACCTTGCAACATGGTACAAAGAATTTCTAAATATTGTTTACCCAGATCTCCCAAACATCAATATTTCACTGTATCACTTATCTCTGTTCTTCCCTTTCTCTTCTGAGTCACCTAAGATGTGATGCCCATTTATTCTGGAGTATTTTGTTGCATATTTCCTAAAAATAGGGAATTTTCTCATCTCATCTACAGACTTTATTCAGACTTCACGATAATGTCCTTTATAACAAAACAATCCAAGACCATGTGTTGCATTTAGCTGTCCCCTGTAATTTGAAAGTTCCGCTGCTTTGTCTTTCATGACGCTGACCTTTGTGAAGATTACCTGGCCAGTTACTTTGTAGAATTGTCCTTCAACTCAGGTTTTTTGGTGCTTTTCCGTGATTAGATTCTGTCATGCACACTGGGCGGGAATATCACAGATGCCATGCTGCACTTCTCTAGCTCATGGCAAGAGGGGCAGGTGCTGTTAATTAGTCCCATTACCAGCAGCGTTAACTTTGCTCGTGGGGTTACGGTGCTGTCCACCGTTTTACCCTTTATAATTAATAAGTATTTCCTTTGGAGAAATACTTTGAGACTATGACTATATCCTATTATTTCTCAAACTTGCATCCATTGGTTTTAGCATTTATTAGTGACTGTTCCCTGAATCAGTTATTACTGTGATTGTGAAAAGGTTGTTTTTAAAAAAATTCCATCATCTTTCTAAATTTATTGTTGGTTTTCTACTGTAAGGAAAAACATTTGTTTATATATTTATTTACATTGGCATAGAATCTTGGTTTTCTAGTTTTTTGTTTGTTTGTTTTTGAGACAGGGTATCACTCTGTTGTCTAGGCTGGAGTGCAGTGGCATGATCACAGATCACTGCAATCTTGACTCCAGGGCCCAAGTGATCCTCCCACCTCAGCCTCCCAGGTAGCTGGGACCACAGGCATATGTCACCATGCCCAGGTAAATTTTTTATTTTTGTAGAGACGGGGTCTCCCTATGTTGCCCAGGCTGGTCTCCAGCTCCTGGGCTCAAACAAACCTCCCACCTCAGTCTCCCAAAGTGCTGGGATTTACAGACATGAGTCACCATGCCTGGTCCAGGTTTCTAGTTTTTATAATAGGTTGTAATCCTTTACTTGACACTGTTAATGAGATACTATTTTGACATTGCAGGTATGGGACCTGGGGACACATGTGTCCCATTTGTGGGATATTAACACAACGCTCAGTCTAGGGGCAACACTCAGAACACTGTTTTCTATTGTCTTCTAAGACTGTCCCTGTCCTCAAATCTCTCAGTGAACTGAGGGTATCCATACTTATCATGATATTTAGGTTGCCCTAGATTTGGTTAGTGGGAGACCTTTAAGTTGGTTTTTGTGTCCTTTTGACATGCTGGCATTATTCTTTGAGTAGTTTGTTACTTTTCAACACAAAATATGTCAGACTCATCTTGCATATTCCCTGTCCAAGCCTTGGAATCAGTCATTTTTTCCACGGTGACCCGGGTTCCTTCTAGTAGAAAATAGTATGGAGAAATCAAGACCTGGGCACTAGGTTGTTCATTGTTAACTGCGGTGACATTGTTTCTAGATCCTCTCAAAAGACAGAGGGAAGTTGATACATGT